CTTTTCAATTAAACCAGACAACTGTTCCACCATGTAGTCTTTGGATTTCTCCTAAATCTTTCTTCAAAAGATATTTGAAAAGCATTTAGATTTTACATTTTGAGAATTGAAGAGAGAGTTTATTTTGTGTCTCATTTATTTTGCTGGCATCTTTTAAATAAGTCCAGTTTTAAACAATTAAATCTCAATTTTTACATATTATTAAGGATCCAAATTCATGTTGATTCTTGTGGGGTTTATATTTTTACCCTATCATTAATATTTTTAAAACTTTTGGTAAGAAAGTTGATTAATTTTTAATTCTATTACTAGTTATCTCTTAATATTACTGATAAAAAAGGAAAGTCTTTTGTTCTCTCTTGTATAAAGAATTCTCTTCAGAGTCTGTCTATATTTCTGAGATGAGGTATTATGTACGCTATTTACATTAGTCGGACTATTGTCCTCATCTTTGTTGCCATATTTGTCACAGCATATGTGCTGATTCCTTAAGTTTTCAAATTTTCCAATGGTGTTCCCTGTCTATGATCTCAACATGATCCCACAGGGGATGGTGATCTCCCTTCTCTCTCCATATGTGGTCAGCCATGCCTGATTTTTCTACTTCCCCTCATGTTACAGCTTTCTGGTGTTCTTGAAGGTTGTCCTGATGTTATATGGACCACAGATCCTCTGTATTTTCTCTGATAACCCCTTCACATAAGGCAGGCAGACTGTTTTCTGAGTGTTGTTGTCCTCCTCCTCCTCTTGTACCCGCCTATCCCAGTTTTGGGGGGCTGCTGCCATGTACCCAGAGTAGTTGTTATGTTGTAGGGTACTACTTATACTGACCAATTCCTTATCTAACGTCTCTGGGTCGCCACTTATGACTTTTGCTCGGTGTTGTAAGCAACAGACGATCCCTTTCTTTACGCTGTATGGATGGTGGGAATTGAAATTGAGGTACTGTTCGGCAAATGTTGGTTTATGGTATACGGATGTCTTGAACCCATGCTCTGTTCGAGATATTAGTACATCCAGGAATGGGAGTGTTGTTACTCTCTTTCTCCATTGTGAACTGTATCGAAGGTCTTATTGTGTTCACATGGTCCAGTAGAACCTGGACATCTTCCTGGTGTGGCCAGAGTATGAAGGTGTCATCCACATACCTTAACCATAAAGTTGGCTTTAGAGATATAGATTCTAATGCCATTTCTTCAAAGTATTTCATGTATATATTCGCCATTGCTGGTGATAATGGCGAGCCCATTGCTAAGCCCTCATCCTGTCGATATATGTGTGATCCCATTCCAAAGTGTGTTGTTTGTGTACAGAAAGTCAACATCTCCATCAGATTATCTATTGGAATACTGGTCCGTTCTTCTAGGGAAGAGTCGGAGGTCAATCTGTCTCTGACTACTGAGAGTGCCTCCTCTGTGGGTACCTTGGTGAACAAACTCACCACCTAGTTGGATAGGATGGGAGCATCTTTGATTATTTCCACAAAGTCTCTTCCCTGTCAAAAATATTTAACTTTAATAGAGGACATCAAATGTTTAGCAAGTTTCTTAAATCTTGAGACAAATGTTATTGTTAAGTTGACTTTTTTCTATTTGAAGGAAATTGACACAAGTAAGAGATGTTATTTGATACTTATTATAGTGTGTTATTAACATATTCAAATAATTGCTATGAAAAGTGTATCCTGACTGAGGTAGGGGATAATGTGTATGTCTGTGAGTGAGTAAACACTTCCCTCTTTAGTTAAAGAAGTCACATCAGATGAAAAGATTATTGACAATGTTAAATATATATTTTGTGAATTATCAAAGTAGGACACGGATATATCCATTTTCTCTTGATGCCATATTGGATTATTAAAGTCAAATGACAGTACATTAGTTTAGAAATTCCAGAGAAAGAAAAATTGTGTGTATTTTAAACTCTACTGCTGAGGTAACATCACTCAAATGTCTTGTATCATCCATAGATAATAACATGAAAAACTAAAAAGTGAAAAAACATTTTCTATTGAGTGTTTTGGATACAGTTATTTGTGCTATACTTTGTCTTTTTATACTTTTCACGTTAAATTTTTTTTTCTTTTGGTAAGTGTTAACATATACAGATAAATAAAATTCACTATGAAAATGATTTTGCTTATATACCACTATTATAGTTGTGAATAACATTTCAAATCATCCTTGAATTTTAATTAGTAGTGAATATCGTCAGTTGCTAGAGATTGGTTACCATAACTTTATTTGAATTATCGTGAAAATGCTTTCAATTGGAAAAATAATTTTAAAAAGTAACAAAAATATAGAGTAATTAACACTGCAAATGTTCAAACAGCTGAACTCTGTAATTGATATTGCGAATGTTTTTGTTCAACTCAGGTGTACAATCCATGAGAAAACAGGAAAGCCTTTTATTCTCTCCAGGATTATATATATATATATATATATATATATATATATATATATAATCTCAAAATACAAAGCTGTAACTTCTGACACTTTTCTTTAAAACTAGATGAAAGTTTGCTATCTTTGTGTTGTCTTCTAAATTGTATTAAAATAACACCCCAACGACACACATATATTACTGTCATGATTTAATGATTGAAAAAGTGTATCCTGTTGATAGACTATAGCTGACATTTTCTGTCTGAGAGCCAATCTGTCAGCCAAACAAGTTCTGTGTGGAATGGAGGGTAAAACAAAATAAAAGGTGGTACTGGGAAGGCAGAACACCTTTTCACTCTATTTTAATTATGGTGAGACATGGTAGCTGGTCACATGGTTGTCAGTAAACAAAAGAATGATCTGTTTTAATGCTGCTTCTCAGCTTTGGTTCCAATAAGGAAAAGCTGCTATGCAAAAACCTATTCAAATGATTGCCTCTAATAGTGAATCCCTGCAAAAAAAAAAAAAAAAAATTCTAGGCAAGCCAGCAGGTTGCATTGAGTTGTGCCACCACTCTACATAGATAACTAATACTTTCTTGATCATTCTTGTCTACTATCCCCTCCCCATACTATTTGTGTTATCAGATTATTAAACTGCACTTGAAATTACAACCATAAATTTGTGGCCTGTCACTGTGCTGATGGCACGTTTCCTCTGCTATTAAACTCCATATCTAGGTGGGAGGTGGTCTGGAAAGGTCAGTTTTGATTTAGTTAGTCAGGACTGCTAAAAATGGTGATAGTCACTCTCTGCACTGTACTACCTGCACAACTATAGTGGACAAAGTAAGAACTGTGCTCATTCCACACCCTTGTCTTCTCTATTCTAACCCAGATGTCAATAGTTGCATTAGTTTTACATTGTATAGGTGTGTTATTGAAAAGTCACTGGAATGTATAATCTAATTTTTAAGGCTTATTGCCACATAACATTGAAACACTGATTTCTGACGGTATGAATCCCTTTCTTCCCACAGCTATGGGTTAATTAGTAATACTTGTATCACTAAAACCATTATTATCTCAAAAATAAATAAAATTGTGTATAAAGTATTTAGATTTTTGGCTTTAAATAATCCATAGAGGTTGATATGCCACTAAACAAAAACAACCAACCAATTTAAGAAAAAATTAACCTCCAGTTTGTATATTTTGAATGTTCATAAGTCTACAAAGAAGGATCCTCTCAAATTCAGTATTTGCTTGCTATGAAGAACTTTATTTTGATTTATATATTTTTAATGACCTTGCTATTTTTTTCTGAATTGACAAGCTTTTTCTGCTTAGAGCATTTTGATTCACAAAACAAAAATTATGAATTAACAAATGTTCATATATTGACGAATTTTAAGTTTAATTATTATATAAGAAATATGCTTTCTAAAGTCTTTATAATTGTTAATTATTGTATTTCTAAAAGATTTGCCATGACGGTCATCTTGTACAGATTGAGATATTAGAAAATTTGTTCAGTGTATATTCCTATTATAGTATATTTTTGAAGAGTAAAAAAAATATTCATGTCTTAGTTCATACTGAAAGCAATTTTAGAAGTCAGGTATTTTTGACAGACCATTAAACAAAGAAATTTACTTTTTCACAATGTTTACATAAAAATTATTTCTACAAGAATATGTACCTACAATGTTTCTGTTAATTAAATATTAATGAAAACAAGTTTTTATTTTGTCAACTTAGGGCCATTTACCATTTTTATTTAAAACCAATAATTTTTTTAAAAGCCTTTCAAAACGAAAGATTTTACTATTAAACATAGTGAAAAAATTTTGTTTCTTTTTTGTGAAGTAATGCTGTTTTTTATTTTTGTAGGATTTTTTAAATATTTATACACAAGCACAATTGAACTTTGCTGAAATCTCGTAAGTACTTTTTCTTTTTCATTAGTGGTAAGAATTTTTTTTAATTATCTCTTAATTAAGTTGGGTTTTTTTTTGTTTTGTTTTGTTTTTTTCTCCTTTCTTTCAAATTGTATATACTGAAAATGAGTTTGTCAATTTATTTTGGTATTCAGGTTGTCAGCAGTTATAAATTCAAAATTTAAGATTAGTATACAGAAATAAGGAAAGTGTTTTTTCTAAAAATCAAAAATTTATTAATTCTAAAATGTTTATAAATAATATATGGTGATAACAGATAATCTTTCAGGTTATTTGCCTCTGATTGTAGATTTGTTATAATGAAATGAAAATTTATAAGATTTTTCAGCAGATTTTGTGAGCCAGCTGTTGTTTGTAAAGTATAGAAGCAAGTAGAAATTTCAGCAATAATATATAGTATGATTCAAATTTATTGATTTTTTTTTTTTTTTTTTTTTTTTTTTCCAGCTTGAAATAGTTTTTAGGTTGTAAGCATTGTTTTTATTTTTTGAGATAATGATTTATTGATACATATCTTACTAATTATAATCCATAGCTGGGGATAGAAGAAGTGGATTTATACCTTTCCTAAGTGAATATAACAAACCCAACTGAAAATGCATCTCAGTTCTCCGATTAACAATTCAGAGCCATTATCCATTACACCACCCACACATCCTGATATTCCCAAGTGGTCACACATCTAGGTACTAACCAGGCTTGACATTGCTTAACTTCAGTGATTATATGAGAATTGGTGTTTCAATGCTATATGGCTGTAAGCTGATTCAAATTTAGATGTCAACTGTAAAATTTGTTATAAGAAAGCTAGAAATAAGTTAATCCATGGTTTCTGTTACTAATTTGTTTCTTTATGTTGGGAAGGGAATTTCTAAATAGAAAATTCCAGTCATGTTCAGACTTTCAATTTAAAAAATATCTAGTTATACATCTTAAGTTTAGCTTAATCTGGTATACTCTTTGGAGTGTAGGGTACCATATGAGAATCAAACCCGACAATTTATAATAGTCTGTAAGACTAGTTAGCTAACCATTACTCCATGGTTAGATACCCAATTCAGATTATAAGTAGTTTTTACCTTTCATAATCATCAGTTATATTTGCATAAAAGTATTTACAATGTCAGAAATATATTGACTTATCCTGAGCAGAAAGGAATGTGTCTTTTGTAGCTTCACTTTAATGAAATCAACTTGACATTGAAAAGAAAATACCTTGTCCTTGTTTGTGGATACCAATCTACAGATGATTAACTGAGAATTGGTGCTACAGTTTAATTGCACTTATCTTGAGTCAGTGGAAATCAGGGACTTCATTTACTGCTGGAGAATTGAAAAATTCACCATTTGAATGTGTGAAAGTCTGATTTCTCTAAAGTGTAACCATATATGGCTGGACATTGTCAATGCATGAAAAGCTGTGTCAGTAAGTAAGATGGATATTTAAACTAAAATAAATTCACAAGCTAAATTATTTGGATTATTATGCACTCTGAAATAGATTGTCATCCTTCAAATCAGATTTGATTGACAATTATTTCACTTGACAGTATAATAGTATAATTGACAAACTTGGACCTTCATACTCACAAAAAAGTGTCAAAAGGATGGTTTTTTTCCTTGACACTGCTATTAATTTATTTACCTTGACTCCTCAGCAATGTCTTATTGTTTTAAAAAATGATGATTAGAATTGTAATAAAACCTAAACATATGAAAGTGAATTTAGACATTTTTTGTTCTTCAGAATTTACAACAAAAATATTAAACACTATTTATTAGCTTGTTTATTTACAAAATTATATTTGCAACATTTTAAAAATGCAAACCAATTAACTCAATATTTATCAATTTATAAAGAAATAAATATGAAAAAAAAATTTTATTCCTAAATTTGTTAAATTATTAAAATATATAAATCAAATTCTTATTTACCATTTTAAAATTTGCCATTGCCCACAGCAACCACTTCTTCCACCTCTATCGTAGCGACATGTCTGGTTGCAATAGACGTCACTTTGCTTGCCTCTGCCCGTAACAAGTGTAAGCGTGTCCTCAACAAAGCTAGGTCACTATTTGCTGCTTGAATGAAGGAACGTATTGCATCTCGCAAATTTGGCTCCAAGGATTATTGGCATCTCTGCAAGAGTGTACTAAACAGTAGCAAACCCTCTATACCTCCTTTGTTCAACCAGTTTGAAGTCCTGACATCCTCTGCCAACAAGGCTGAATGCTTTGCTTGGAAATTTTCATTCAATTCAACGCTCGACTCTTGCGGTGTACCCATACCCAATTTCCCTCTTAGAAGTGAGGCCCTTTTGAGTGAGTTGCACGTAACCCCATCATTGATATTGGCCATTATCTCTAATTTAGACCCCCACAAGGATAGTGGGGGAGATGAGATACCAGCCATTGTCTTGAAGAAATGTGCGCCGGAACTGGTGCCTGCCTTCTCCAAATTATACAACTACTGCCTCAAGAAATCTTGTTTTCCAGACTGCTGGAAGTCCTCATCGATTGTTCCTGTCTTTAAGAACTCTGGTGACCCATCTGACTCTTCTAATTACCATCCTATCAGTCTCCTACCCCTCTTCGGCAAAGTCTTTGAAGCTTTAATCAACGCCGAAGTGGTTAACCACCTTACATCCCATGATCTGCTCTCAGACAAGTAATATGGTTTCCGCTTTGCCCGATCTGCAGCTGATGTGCTTACGGCCATCATGGAAATTGTCTACCAAGCTCTTCAGAATAACAGAAAAGCTCATGCCATGGCCCTAGACATCTCCAAAGCATTTGATAGGGTTTGGCATGCCAGCCTTCTTCACAAGCTCCAGGGTTATGGTATTACAGGTTGATTGTTTGACTTAATACAATCAATTCTGTCAAACTGTGAATTGAAGGTCGTTCTCAATGGATTTTCCTCCAGCTCCTATCCCACGAACACAGGTGTTCCCGAAGGCTCCATCCTAGGCCCTACTTTGTTCCTTATCTTCATCAATGATCTTCCTGACACCATTGTTTCCCAGGTGGGCATCTACGCGGACAACACTACAATTTACTCCTGCCTCAAAAACAAATCTAGTGTCATTGACAAAACTAACCTGGCCATTCGTCTTGAAAAGGACCTCCAATCAGTTGTGAACTGGGGCAGTAATTGGCTGGTTAACTTTAATGCCACCAAATCAAAACTGCTCTCTATTAATTACCACAGAGAACCTTCTCTGCACCCCCCCCAATTAGAATGTCTGATGCTCAACTTCTCAAGAGCACCTCTCTGCGGCTGCTCAGTCTTATGTTGTCTACTGACCTGAGATGGAACAAATGCATTGAGTCAGTTGCTTCGTCCACCGCATGGAAAGTTGGCTCCCTGTGCCGTGCAAGGAAATTTTTCCCTCGGGGTTCTTGACAAGATCCAGAGACGGATATGCAATGTAATTGGCCCTGATTTGGCATCTCGTCTGCAGTTGCTCTTTCACAGATGTGTCGTCGCCTCTCTGTCTTTTTTACAAATAGCTGCTTTTGCTGGTTCCAAGACATCGCGAATTCAAGCGTCCTACGAGGCTGGCATCCCACTCTCACCCTTTCACTGTTGAAACTGTTAAATGTAGCTGCCTCTTCTACTCCAATAGCTTCATGTCTCGTACCTTTCGCCTGCGGAACTTCCTTCCCTACTCCTGTTTCCATGATAGCTTTAATATCCAACTATTCAAATGTAATGTCAATTGACATCTCCAGTTGCCTTGATCTTATCCTTCTCCTCATCCTCTCTTCTATCATTCCTATCTGCTCTCACTCCAAATCCTCTGCAACCCCTTGTGTGCTAGTGGCTTCCCACCTTGCTAGAGGTGAAATGCTTAAAAAACAAAAAAAACAAAAAAAAATCCCAAAATCTGACCAGTTTGGTGTTTTCTAAGGATTTCTCTGGTTGTGCTGAGAATATTTCAGCACCTTCTCATCTCTGTTAATTGTGTACATTTTCTCTTTCTAAATGACTAGTCATTTGTGAATTGGTTCATATCTACAATTTTTCTTGAGTAATGTACTTTAGTAGTTTGCAACTGATCTTTTCAATGATAAATTTTAACATTATTGATGTTTTAAAAAAAAAATAAGTTAGAATATTAAACATTATAATAAACCTTTTTTGTAGTACTATTAAGTAATACTTTTCTTGTGACTTTATTATATATATTTCATCTACTTAATGACTTGTAGAAATATTGCTTACAAGTTAAAAAGAAAAAAAAAATTATTTCATATTTGGGGAGTTTGACCATGCTTACCAAAACTGAAATATTAGTATCTTTTATAATAAAGATTTTTTTTTTCTCTCAAGATTTAACCATCTGAAAAATAGTTACATGGTGCGATGAATAAATTGTCATCTAAATTATACACTGACACTTCATTTTAACAAACTCCAGACAACTTTGGAATCTCCTGCATCTCTTTTGGACAGTCTCCTTGTTTAAGTTGGTGAATGCTCCCATAATCCTTGCCTTCAGTTCATCTTTCATGTTGCAAGGGGTTTTGTTGGTCTCTTGCTCAACTGCACCCCACACAATAATCTAGAGGATTGCAGTCTGGGGAGTTAGGTGTCCAGATGTAAGGGGTGATGTGGTCACAAGATTCGCAGCCATAACTGAGTTCTCTTGCTTTTGTGGCATGGTGCAGAGTCTTGTTGCCAGACATAGGGTCTTCCAACAGCCACCCTCTTGACCCAGGGCAGCACTATCTCCTCAAGACACTTGATATAGGCTTCCAAAACACTCTGCAATGTTCATATTGGTGCTTCCTGTACAAATGCCAAGCACTACAGCATACCATTTCCAAATTTCTGGTGGAGTAAATTACATCATGGTGCTCTTCTCACAGATGGTGCTCAACTGACCTTATTATACTGTGCAGTCAGTAAAATCTAAAAACAAACATTGTACATATGCAAAACAAAAATTATGAAATCGCGACAATTTACCCATCGCGCCCTGCAATTGTGAGGAATTTCTTCTTTGCTGTTAAACTTTTTTGTGTGTAATTTTTATAAATTAAAATAAGTGTTACCAATCAGGTTTTTAGTCGACCACTATTCCTTAAAATGTTAAGAGATTTAAAATAATTTGTTCTTATTGAGTAAGACAACTTTAAAGAAATGCAACCAATTATTTTCTTTAGATGTTGATATTTCGGTAAGTAGATAGTGGGATTGTTTTAATTATTTTCTGAATTGCTTTGTTGCAACAATTCTGATTGAGTGAACTTTTACTGGATCAAGTAAAGATTGTCAGAATCCTTTTAAAGTAATGGACACTAAGTACAGTAACTTAATATGATTTTTAGGAATTTGTAAATCTAGGCAAAAAATCTTGGGACTTCTGTTCATCTCTCTCATTATGATCTTCATTCCTTCAATTTAAAGTTTCAATATTGATTTTTCATAAATCTACTTTTCTTAAGCAATTATTTGGTGATATGAACTATGATTTATATAACTGTACAAATGCTTGATTTTAATGGTTTCTTAGTATAAATTTAGTCTTAATTTTTTAAATGGTTCATGGGTAGATGGCTGTGACAAAGCTATTTTTGGCTGGTTTTTCTTTACAAAAGGATTTAACCAAAAAAATTATATTGGTATTCTTTGATTCAATAGAATATGGTTAATAACTATTAAAAAACACTTTGCTGATATGTCCTGTGTTTAGGTAATAATCTAAAAATTCATGTTAAAAATTAGAATCATGTTTTGTAGATAAATCTAC